TGTCTCCAATGGTTCAAACTAGTTGTTGACTCGTCGCTTCACGGTACTTGACCTTTACAGCCGCTTACTCCACCGGCAATCGTATGCGCTAGATAGCATTTAATCGATTAATGTTTCAGTTATTATTTTTAGGCAACGATTTCATCCCATGACATCCAACAACTAGTAGATAGAATTCAAGATATTAACATTCCATGACAAAACGCAACATAATTATAGCCTAGTACAGAGTTTTTAATTGTTATGGTGGTGAGGTATTAGTGTTCAACAATCATCTTCTGCAATTGATGAAATGTACAGTACTGTTGGACGATATGCCAACAAATCATCCTCGAATTTTGAATTTAAAAAAATGACACAAATGAATTTTCAGCCGCATGGAAGTTCGCTCTTATCACCTCGCTGCACACACTTAGACCCACGTCCGGGTTCAAGCACGCACATCCGGGTTCAAGCACGCAAATCAGATTTGCGTTGTCAAATCAATGACGCACATCCGGGTTTTTACTCCTCATCAGCATTCGGTCTTTATCTTTTCAGAACGACTACAAAAAACTATTTCTGAAAGTTCGATTTCTAATAAATATTCAACGCGCGCAAAACACGCCAAAAACACCAAGTCCTCGCGTGTTCCAGGGGTCTACCTTTCAACCTCGCAAACTAACAATTTTGGATAAGCGGTCGGTTGGACGCTATCTTCAACTGGTCCACTTGGGTAACGAGGAGTATGACATCCCTTCCCGTCTTACCAAGCTAAATCAGCGCATTGAATCCAATGAGCAACAGATGTCACTCCCGCTGGCACGCAAAGATGTATATGGTACGGCGGCTTGCTGAAGACAATTGTCGCACTACCTCATCTGGCAAGGTTCCTTGGTCTCCCAAATTGCAGGGCTTCTGGGATCGGTTGAGTCTCTGGAAGCTACTCCTTAAAGGACGCAAGCGATGCCGTGTGAGCTCACGAAAGGTCCGGCGCCTGATGAAGAAGACAAGGCTGTGCGACGCGTGGAAGCAGACAACTGATGAATTGGAAGCGGCATTGGCAGCTGAACGCAGGGCGTATAAGCAAGCCAAACGTCAGGCAACTCAATTGAGACGGGACTTTCTTACGGCTCAGACAAAGGATGCAAAGAAGAAGAAATGGAAGTCCCAGAAGGCCCACGATAGATTCCTTTGGTTATGACAAATGAAGCAACGAGAGGAGGCGAGACGTCGTCGTCGCGCCCAACAAAAGGGATCTACCGGGGGTTTACGGGCTATTCAGATTGAAGAAAAGTTACCAGATGGCACTACGCGGCTGCGTACTATCATTGATCGTGCTCTGGTTGAAGAAGGTTGTATGCAAGAAAATGCGGCACGGTACGACCAGACACGTGCTCCATATACCACTCCACCTATGGCGGAACTCTTGTATACAGCATTCACCGGCGCTGAGGCTGAATCTAATTCCATTGCACTATTGGAAGGCCGCTACTCTCTGCCCGGCCTTCTTGACCCTGCCACTACGGCCTTTCGTTCCCATTGCCGATTTCACAAGGATTACTTACCCGTACACCTTGAGGTTACGACTTCTGATCACGTGTACTTCTGGTCTCGGAACCCAGAGGACAAGGGTTCTGAACCTCATGGGTTGCCGAACAGACACTTCAAGGCAGCGGCCCAGTCACCAGGTATTGCCTATTGCGATGCCCTTTTTCGCAGTATTCCTTTGGCAACGGGATTCGTCCCCTCGAATTGGCAGAACTTGATGAATTTTGCAATTGAGAAGAAGGCAGGCGACTTCCGGCTGTCGAAAATGCGCACTATTCAGTTAATGAATTCGGAGGCACAGGCGAACAACAAAAAAGCGGGTCGCGCGGCCATGCGATATGCCGAGGAACACTCCTTGATTCCGGACGGTCAGTGTGGTTCTCGAAAACGCCATCAGGCTATCGATCTAGCCCTGTCCAAACGTCTGGTCTGGGACCTGTTGATTCTCCAACAACGCGCGGCAGGGTGGATCTCTAATGATGCCAAATCCTGCTTTGACCGTGTGGTTCATTGGGTGGCAATCATTGCGATGCTCCGGTTTGGGCTGACATGGAGAGTCCTATCTTCCATGTTCAACATGCTCTCGTCAGCAACGCATCGGGTGCGGACAGGCTTTGGCGATTCCGATCGTAGCTTCAAGCCGCCTTCTGCTATCCCCTTTCAAGGATGTGGCCAGGGCAATGGAGCAGGACCTCCCGTATGGATCTCTGTGAGCTCCGTTCTCATAACCATGATGGAAGCGATGGGTTACGGCTTTGAGTGCCTCTCAGCTCTGGAATCACAATTGGTCACAGCCCAATGCTTTTGCTTTGTCGACGACACCGACGTCATTCAGGCTGGCAATACAGTCCATCACTACGGTGAAGCTATATGTGCATCTGTACAGGTAGCCGCTACCCTGTGGGCGGGGGGAATCCGAGCTACTGGAGGTGCAATTAACCCTGCGAAGTCCTTTTGGTGGCTCATCAACTTCGATTGGGACTCCCGCACAGGCAAATGGAAATTTCGTGGAAAAAAAGCAGTTGCCCCTGACTTTGAACTCCAAATTCAAGGTCTATCAGGTGCCACTAAATCCCTGCGTCGTCTTGAACCAGATGACTTGGAACGCACTTTGGGAGTTATGCTTGCTCCTTTGGAAAACCTTAAGGCTCACGAGGTTCAGATGATTGCTAAAGCCAAGGATTGGGCAGAACAGCTTCGACCCAACCTTCTTCACAAACATGACGTCCTCCGCCTCATCAGGTCGACCATCATGAAGAAATTGGAGTATCCTATGGCGCTTACCACCCTGGACGCCCAGCAATGGACAGACATTATGTCTCCGGTACTTCAAGTGTGCCTTCCAAAGGCGGGTGTCTGTCGTAATTTTCCTCGGGATGTCGTATTTGCGCCGCTGTCCTATCAGGGTCTTGGACTTCCACATCCGTTTGGTTGTCAAGTGTTTAAGCATCTTGAGATGTTGCTCCGACATATGGCCAACAGGACCAAAACTGGTTACTATATGGAGGCAAACTTTCAAGCCCATCAACTTGAAACGGGGACATCCTTTGGACTCTTGCAACAAGTCTACACCAACACGGCGATCTTAGCTTCAGACACGTGGATGAAACGAGTATGGCATGAACTTGAGGGTCTGGACATCTATGTTGCCTCTGACTCTCCAGCCCTCTCCCATCGCTGTATGGACGACTCCCTTCTGATGGATCTCTTCATAAACTTGGAGGTTGAACAAGAGGAACTTTTATGGCTCAATTGGTGTCAAATATACCTCCAGGTATGCACAGTGTCTGACATTGTGACTGCTGATGGCAGGTTTATTCGTCGTTCCGCGTGGAATGGGCTCAGGGATGAGTGCTGCCGCTTGCCATACCAATGGCCAAGGACAGTTTGGCCAACCCGCCAACACTGGGACCTGTGGCAGACCTCCTTGTCTCGAGCCCTGTATGCCTCCAACGGGCCACATCACCCACTACGACAGCCTTTAGGGCCCTGGACTGATCCTCTGGAGGACTGGAATTGGTTGCTGTCACCCACTACAGGCCTTTTCCACCGCCATGGGGCAACCTGGAAACATTTTTCTCCTGAGGGCTCCTCCACCACGTCACGTCGCTACGCACCAGCGCCTTCACATCCTTCTTGCCCATGGTGGACCGCACCGCTTCCCTCTGATGTTCTTCGCGCTACGGTTCGCCCCACCACGGGATCTGACAGTGTTCTTCTCACAGGTACTGGCCGTGCCTCTGAACCGTCCCCTCCCAACAGCCCATCCATCCTTCAAGCGTGGCAGACGGCTGCCGAGCTTTGCACGGACTATTACGGGTGGGTTCCAGATGTGATCGAGGTTCACGGTGAGGAAGCCACCTTAGCTGATGCTCTGTTGGAAGGTCGCCTGCGCGTGATCAGCGATGGATCCTTCATGAACGAGTTAGGGACCGCGGCGGTTCAACTCTTGGTGAAGCATGGAGGGTGCCATTGAATCATCATCCGGTGTCAGACCCCCGGTTTGCCCCAGGATCAGAGCCCATACCGCAGCGAACTCATTGGTCTGTTGGCCGGTATAATGGCGGTCGATTGGCTCCTTAAGCAATGGCTCCCAAACCTTTCGAAATGCCCCAAGGTGCGGATTGCTTGCGATGGTCTCTCTGCTATTGAGATGGCTTTCGAAGATCGCCCCCTGTCTCCAACTGACGCCCAGTTTGACTTGGTGTCATCCATTTGGGAAGCTATCTTTTGGTCCTCGGTGGATTGGTCGCCCCAGCACGTGTATGGCCATCTCGACAAGTCCAATCTCTTTGACGAACTTTCTTGGTGGGAGAAACGGAACCTTGAGGTGGATGGAATGGCGGCGGAGTACCGTAAGGAACTTGAGACGGCCAATCATCTCATAGTCCCCAATCCTCGTTTCTTCACTGAACTTGCGGCATTGTACGTGGCAGACACCAAACAGTCACGCCTTGATCCTCAGTTCATCCAAGAGTGCTGTGTGACCCTTCCCGCCCTCCGCTCGCGCTGGAGGGACAAAGGTACTATCTCGGTCGCAGCCGAGTCTGAGATCGCCTGGGACACACTTGGCCGAGCCATGCGATCCCTCCCTGCAGGACTACAAGGGTGGTCTACTAAACATTGTGTGGGTATGTGCGGCACAGGCAAACTTAAAGTTCTATGGGGTCTGGAGACATCAGCAGCCCCACGCTTTGGCGACTTCAAGGATCATCTTCACATTCCCCGTTGCCGCGCTGCTTTGGCAACAGCTGAATGGGACCGTCGCACTGCAGCCTTATCCGCGTGGCTGGACCTGCAATTGACGGGCCCTTCCATCAAAACAGCGATCCTACAGCTTCTTCACGGCGTTCGCACACCTACTTCGTCCCCTCTAAGGACCATCTCTCCTTCGGTTCGGCCGGCCTTCTTGGTTCAGCAGGTGATTGGGTCTCAAGGCCTTTTGGAGGGACGCATAGCCTTGTCTTGGCTTCCGCTCCAACAACAACATTATGACAAGATCAGATGTCGACGATCTGTCTCTCTTTGGGCGTCCCGCCTCTCACAGCAGCTGATCTCGATCGGCTTCTACATGTGGGAGCAGCAGAACTCCGTTCAACATTCGGATGATAACGTTCAACTACGTGAACGTCACAGTACTGCCAATGAGGGGATTCACTCACACTTTGATATGGGTCCTGATGACTTGCCTAAGGAAATTCAACCGATGCCAACAAGCCCTCAACGAGTCCTTCGTAAGTCATTGGTGGACAAGAAAGAGTGGCTTAAGTTGCTTTGTCAGGAACGCAGAGATTTCCGTCGCTCCATGAAAGCTCAACGCCGCAGTCTGCGGACTATTTTTTCCCCTGGACCCTGACCAACTTTTCGCGGGACCTTCCATGCCCCGAATTCACCCCGCCACGTCGCGGGAGAAGTCTTTACCCCTTTGGGAGACTTGAGCAACTTCTGTTCATACAGATGCCTCACATGGTTCAAACTTGTTGTTGACTCACCGCTTCACAGTACTTGACCTTTACAGCCGAATATTTCACCGGCAATCGAATGCCCACAGAGTAGCATATTAACAATTAATGTCTCAGTTATTATTATTAGATTTAAAATGATAGTAATACCATTTCTTGTTGACTTTTGCTCGATTTTTCTTCTGATTAGATGGCACGGGAAGATGGTCAAATTGAACTCCGGCGCCAAGCTTGGCAAGCCCCTTCTTTCCAGTGACGAGTTGACTCGATGGACTAGAATGAATGGCTATCGCCAACCAATAGCTTATAATTTTGATTATCTCCCTTTTACAACACTGTAACTAGTCAAACCCCTTTATCGCCCTGTTATCGTTCTGTTGGAAATCGGTTCTGGCAGACATCAGACTGCTTGTCTTCGTCCAAACCGATTGACAACGTTGTGGCCCATCAAGCCATGATTGCCAACCAGCCGTGCCAACATGCGACCCATCAAGTCGTCATGCATAGGCACTAACCATAGCGATCTTCGATCCGTCTAATTTGAAATAATCATCTCTACAGGAAATAACTATTCTAACAGACTTGTTATCTACATGGAATGGGCAAAGCAAAAACCTTGCACGAAAACTCAAATTTCCCAAACCTTTACTGGATGTTTGCAATCCAGAAAGGCCGGTACAAAACCCATGTACAGAAGTCCCGCAGGATTCATTATGGGATTTTCGTGGCGCTCAGACAGTTTGATAGTCCAAGCGCACAATTCCATGTTTTTGGATTCCCTGCAAAACCGACTAATAGGAATCCCCCGAATAAACGGACCAAACGGACATTTGTCCGTCTGTCCGATCGGACGTGTCGAACTGCTTCGATCAAGGAGGTCTCCAAGAGAGCAATTCCAACACGTTCAATAACGGGCACATTAACTCACCAGGATTCCTATGCGCCTTTTTCTCGTCAAAGAATTTCCGCTTGTTCTGAGCGACGCGCTCTTTATTCATGGGATCCGGACAAGCTGTGACAGAATGCTTGCCACCGCAGTTGAAGCAAGGTCCCACTGTCTTCTGAGCAGAAAATGCAGTTTCGTTGACCTTGTGAAATTGTCCAGTCCATCCCTCTTTAGAAGCCATACGATTCTGATAGATGCTTGTCACAAGATCTAGAATCATATCAGGGGATCTGTAAGCAGCATCGCCTTGAGTAAGTGCCTGCTCGTAAGCGTTGATCTCTTTGTTGTGGAAAACCTCATTGAACTTGGGATCACTTGATGTCTGAAACAACGAGATGAGAGTTTTGCCAATGTCATGAGGAACGTTCGAGGAGACCACTCTCCCGTCGATACGTTTTTCAAGTGACTTGAGTCGAGTCAACATAACCTTAATGTGACTAACCAAATCGTCCACACTTTCTCCTGCATATTGATCAATGCGAAGGGTCTTGAGCTGGCCTTGAATCGTCTCCACAACTAGCTGAGAGTTGACCTGGAGGCGTTTCATCATGAAGAAGAAGACCAAGGGACCGCCCATACCTTGGGTATCCAGATAAGGAAGTAGGTCTTCAAGAACTTTGCCCCACAATTGTGGTGTCATGTGGTTACACAAGTACTCATAGGACAAGCTCAAATTCTCGTGGAACCAAGGTTGCGTCGGGCCACCTTGTATACCACTTGCAGCTTTCTGCCACCTGGTCAGCGGTAAGTTTTGCATAGCGATCGAAAAGAAACACTGTCTTGGTCACGTTGATATTATCCGCCTCTAACTGGCCCGTTTGTTCACCGATTGCATTTTTGGTAGGAAATACAATCGTAAAAACGTCTAGGACGTCATAGCGCTTGAAATGCATCTGCATGTTGGCCAGGCCGACGCCAAGATCATAGCTTTCTTGAAGATCTTGAACACTTTGCATGGTCTGCGGTTGGAGATCAAATGAGGTATGTTGATGCTTGGTGATGAGTTGAAAGAAGGCACGCTTCTTATCCGCATCCAACGCTGTTCTGTTCTGTTTCTTCATTGCAACAAGCAAGCCACCCACATCAGTTGCCGGGCTCGCCTGTGTCGTGATGGTCACACCACCGATGGTGACCTGGTTGGCTTGGTTTCGTGCTGGCATTGTGCCTAGCGGAGGATTTCGCACTTGCGGAGGGTTGGTGCTTGCTCGAGAGCCAGCCCTTGTCGCAGGCTGTTGGAGGGTTTCTTCAAGATCCTCTGAGAGATCTCTCAGAGGTTGAGGAGTAGCTTCTTCCTGACGATCCTCTGAGGTGACTTGAGGTGTGGAAGCTTGCCTTTTCTTCTTAGAACGCTTCTTCTTGGAAGGAGTTCCCGGTTCAGGCGTTGATGACATTCACTTTACTTGTATCTACTCAGCGATACTTGGGCTCATAACCTGCGAGGATTGTCTATAAACGGACTTGAGGGACAGTCGAGGGCACTAGACAATAGAGTTGTAATAGAGATAGAGTTGCTATTCTTATTGATGATAGTTCATGAAAAGTGAGGATTGCTCTGAACTTGAGCAGAGGATCCAGCAGTAGATACACGTAGAGAGTAGTATATAGAGTTCGGGAGAAGAACTGAGGTGTCAAGTGATCGTGAGAATGACTCAATCAGAGTAAGCCACCGGTCCGATCTATTGGACTCGCGGTGCGATTGGCTTGACCTCAACAGGTGGTTCCTACTCAGCAGTGATTGTCGATCCGCCCTTGTTTCGGAGCAACCGCAAGAACTCGCTACTTGGTACCTATCATGATGATGACCTACATCCGAATCTACTTCTGGCCCAATTCGGTAGTTTCTAGAGCTACTAGCAAGTAGAGTTCCAACATAGGGACCCACTTGTGGACCTACTTATAACCAAACGCAAGCCCTAGCTAGTTCAGCTCCTACTACTCTAGCTACTGATCCTCGTGACAAAATTTAGGAACCACTTCTGGCCCAACGGTCCAACATCTGAGCCTACCATTGATTCCTACCTAGAGTAGCTTTGAATCATCAGATCCAACTAGCTGACCATTATTGAACTTGCTTTGGGTCCCCTATGTATGAACTTGTCAGTGGCCCAATATCAAATCATACTACTAGCTAATCATGATAGAAACTACGTCTGGAACTACAAGCGACAAATCACCAGTTCCGACCAACCTAGAACTTACTTTGAGTCCTACGCACTAGCTAATCACGATAGGAACATACCAGCTTTGAATCCTACTAGCTACTAACAATGATAGGAGGGGCACGCTTCCGGGCGTACTTCTGCCCTAGCCTTGGGGGGATGTACATCTGAACCCACTAGTAGTGACCGGTCATCAGTTTCTACTAGCGGACCAACATTGACTATACTTCCAGTCTTGTATATATGAAGCTACCACTGGCCCAACATCCAATCATACTAGCTTATCATGATAAGAACCCACCTCTGCACCTCTTCAGGTTGATCATCTGAACCTACTAGCGATTAAATTCAAAACTTTCTACTAGCGGACCATCACGAGCTTCCTTCCGGCCCTACACGCACATGAACCTACCGGTGGCCCGATTATTATCTGTTGCTACTAGAATCATGACAGAGCCCTAGTTTTTTAAAGTAGAGAATGATCTAATATTTTATCCAAGAAAAGGCCAGTCGTGACCGAAGCTATTGAAGTGAAAGTAGCTTTTGCCAAGGCTTCATCAGCGGTAAGACAAGTGTGGCAAGAGGCAAGAGCATTGGAAATTTCAGGTTTGCGATAAAACAGAGCAAGCCGATGTGGATAATTCGCCGTTTGCAACTATAATTCTCGTGATTGCAACGGGACCATGTGGAACACATGGTGGTTTGAAAGTTTGGTCACGCTGTTGTGGGACCAAATTCGAGGAATTCCAATATGGCTATCAGTTTGACTCTGTATTTGGAAGCGTATCCAGGATTTCACTTTGGATGCTTGATACAGGTCGTGCTGTAGGGCATTTTGATTCAACATGTTGTGCGAACAGCAGGTTCTTCAAATTGGGAGGCCGGCTGTAAGCAACAATAAGCCGTTCAATTGGAACTCGGACTCTGCTGGAGTTGCGGAGCTCCCACAAGTGCGGTTCAAACTGAGTTGTTACCACAAGTGGGAGTGGGGTGCAAACAAGTCTCATTTCCCAAGTGGTTTTGTACGATTTGAGGTTGGCAAGGTTGTGGTTGCAGGCTCTGCCAAAGGTCTTTGTTAGGGCCGACGGTTGTAGAATAAGATGGGAGAAGGCTTGCTGAATAGATCTGCGAGTGGGGTCGCGATTGTGAAACGGCAAGTGGAGAAGGCAAAGTTCATCGTTTGAGGTAGCGGAAGGATCTTGTCTGGGCTTTTGGCGTCCAAATTGGTGTAGGGCTTTTTTGAAAGCAGAGCGAAGAAACTTCAGTTTGTATCCGCGGGCGACAAGGTGGGAGTGGAATTTTGACAAGGAGGCTCTCTATTCTGCGTCTCTAGAGGTGAGTTGTAGAATACGAAAAATTCCGCCAGTAACCAAGCCAAGTCGTACCGAGGAGGTGTGAGCGGAGTTTGGAGGGATGTATAGATGTAGGTTCAGTGGCTTTTCGTACAGTTTTGTGCTGATTTGAAAAGGTTCAACAGAGAGGGTGAGATCCAGAAAGTTGGCGGTTTTTGACAAAGTAGAGAATTCCCAGTTCAGGGAGCAGTAGTTGTCTTGACAGTTTTTGAATTCTTCCCAGAGTTGGCGATCGGTGTCTGGATTGGGATGGTGGATCCAGATGCCGAGTTGATCATCAATGTATCGACGTAAGTAGTGTAGTTCCAAAACGTTGTAAAAGACCAAGTTCAAAAATACCGTAGTAGAGAGTTGCAAAAGAGGGCGCCGGTGGTGTGCCCATTGCGGTTCCGTCAGTCTGGAGCCAGTAAGTGTCTCCAAATCGAAAGCAGTTTCTCCTCATGAGAAGTTGCAAAGCTGTCATGATTGTGTTGACGTCAACATTTACACACAGTGAGGAGGTGGACAGGAATTCTTCAATACGGGTGAAAGCGTCTTCAAGATTGATGCTGGGATACATAGCCACAACATCACCAGTGAAGAGACTCATGCAAGAGAAGTCGGTGCCGGCCATGTTATCAATGTCAGTTTTGAGTGCAAACAAGCTTGACAAATAGGTAGGTAGTTTGCGGATGATGGGTTGGAGTTGTTGATCCAGCCATTTTCCGAGGCCATAGAGTAGGCTGCCAGAGACCAAGACAATTGGTCGCGTTTTCCAGGGGCTCTTATGGATCTTTGCAAGTGTGTAGAAATAGGCATAGGAGTCAGTGACACGGTCAAGGGTTCTCTGGAGGTACGTCATGTCCATTTTTGTGATGGCTGACGCGTTATCATTAAGGAATTTGGCAATCAGTTGGCCAGTTTCTGTAGTGAAGACGTGTGCATCCTCGGGGGAGAGCTGTTGGTAGGTCTCAGTGAGGAGATGGTCAGTAAGGCAGCGTTGGACGTATACCTCATGTTCCAGAAGTACAGGGCCGAGATTTTTGTCTGAGTTTAGGACAATGAAATCAGGGTTGTGACGTAGTGTAGTGAGAAGGTGCTGTTGAATCGGGGTGAGATTTGAGTGCACCTTTTGGCGGTGGAACAGGGGAAGGAGATATTTGCGGAAGGCGTTGACTCGGGCTTGGATTTCAGGATCCACCATTCCATCCTTTAGTTCCCACAGGTCATTGCGGGTGTAAAGTTGGTTTGGTGTCCATTCAGATTCCTCACCGGCAAAGTGGATCTTTGTGTGAAAGTCTTTTGCAAAACGAGTCAGTGTGGTTTCAAGTTGTGTTTGGCTTGTAGTGAAGGCGGGTCTGGGGCAAAACTTCAGGCCAAGGCCAAGGAGCGACTTCAGGAACAAGGGTGGTTTCTTGGTGGTACACAAATTATGGCAGGCGGAATTGGAAAGGCGGGATTCAAGAACAGTAATTGGCAGTGACAGGATGTGGTCGCGTAGGTTGACTCGATGTGATTTTGATGGATCTGCAAAGAGGCCAAAGCGCGATATCATTGTGGAGCGAATTTTCTGCTCTAGTTTCGCTTCTTGTTTCGAGAAGTCTTTCCTTTCTTCTGTGATTTCCTTCCTGAGTTGGGTTTTGGCTTGGAGGTAGCGGCGTCGGCACCGGCAACTTTTGCGGCAGTTTTTGGCTGTGGCTTGGTACCAGATGTGCGACGCTTTTGATCAGTCTTCTTTTTGTCGGAGGCGCCTGGCAATTTGGCCCCTCGGGAGTTGTTTTTTGCAATGGCACATTTAAGCGTCTGGATTTCTTTCTCCAGGTTCTTGGTCTGTTTCTTGGTTTCGAGGCGAACACATTTGTCGATGTGTGACTCAACAGACAGAGTGTTGGTGATGTCAATGTTGTCAACATCCATTGCAGTAGTGGTGGTAGCTGTAGCGGCACGGGTCAGAGAGATAAAGTGTTTCACTCTCAGTAAGTTCTCGTTGGCAATTTTTTGCTCAAGGTAGGTTGTCCAACTTGTGACAAAAAGAGCTTTGGTGATTGTGTTGAAAATCTTCACAATCGGGGTAGCAGCCGTGATACAGAATGTGTAGTCCAAGTTTGGGCGGTAGGCTGCTGTAGGTGCTTCAGTTGGTGTGTGTTCAGTTGCCATCTCATGGATCTTGTCATTGATATCAGAAGAAGATGCAAATTCGGAAAACTTGAGAATGGGCGGTCCTCCAAGACCAGCACTATCATACATCATTTGATAGATTTCGCAAGCTTCGGAATTGTCAGTGAACTTGGGGTCACCGAGAGCAAGGGTGGATGCAATGCTGACAATGCTTTTGGCAATGAGTTTTTGGATTGCATTCTTGACGGATTTTATTTCAAGGTTGAGCAGTTTGATGAGTACCTATCATGATGATGACCTACATCCGGATCTACTTCTGGCCCAATTCGGTAGTTTCTAGAGCTACTAGCAAGTAGAGTTCCAACATAGGGACCCACTTGTGGACCTACTTATAACCAAACGCAAGCCCTAGCTAGTTCAGCTCCTACTACTCTAGCTACTGATCCTCGTGACAAAATTTAGGAACCACTTCTGGCCCAACGGTCCAACATCTGAGCCTACCATTGATTCCTACCTAGAGTAGCTTTGAATCATCAGATCCAACTAGCTGACCATTATTGAACTTGCTTTGGGTCCCCTATGTATGAACTTGTCAGTGGCCCAATATCAAATCATACTACTAGCTAATCATGATAGAAACTACGTCTGGAACTACAAGCGACAAATCACCAGTTCCGACCAACCTAGAACTTACTTTGAGTCCTACGCACTAGCTAATCACGATAGGAACATACCAGCTTTGAATCCTACTAGCTACTAACAATGATAGGAGGGGCACGCTTCCGGGCGTACTTCTGCCCTAGCCTTGGGGGGATGTACATCTGAACCCACTAGTAGTGACCGGTCATCAGTTTCTACTAGCGGACCAACATTGACTATACTTCCAGTCTTGTATATATGAAGCTACCACTGGCCCAACATCCAATCATACTAGCTTATCATGATAAGAACCCACCTCTGCACCTCTTCAGGTTGATCATCTGAACCTACTAGCGATTAAATTCAAAACTTTCTACTAGCGGACCATCACGAGCTTCCTTCCGGCCCTACACGCACATGAACCTACCGGTGGCCCGATTATTATCTGTTGCTACTAGTAATCATGACAGGGCCCTAGTTTCAGATGTACTTCATGCCGGGCTTCAGGCTATACATCTGAGCCTTTGCAAGCGGTTATTTGTGAGGTCCCCAACATCAAACTTTTTCAGGTCCTACCGTACTACAAATTCTATGCTGATACTTTTTATTTGTGCGGTTTTCAGACTTTCCAATACTCTAGCTAGTTATGCCATAGGCAGAACTAATACGTAATCATGATGTAGGTATGAGTGCTGTACCCCGGTAGGTTGTGATAGTGCGATCCACAGAGTACATAGTCTGATTGCGAGAAGTTGATTGTTTTTTATAAAAAAATACCCAGCATTGAATTGTATTAATAGTGCCGTACATTTGAACCAAAGACTGCTTATCAATCGTTCCATCATTCAAGATGCGCTGTTTGCAGTTATCTCGTAAAATATCATGTACGCTTGGCAACTTCTCACTTCTGCGAATGACACTGGGGTTACAGTATTGTCAGAAATTCGGCACCATTCTCCGCGCCCATTTTCGCGGAAGGTGACATAATGACCGAAATCAGCTGTCCCAATGTGTTGAATAACCCCCTTCAGACGATAGAGAAGAGGATTTTCCTCCTGGCACTGTGGCAACCCAGCATTGCTAAGGTTTCCCGCGGCCCAGGATGTGTCAGCTTTCTGGTTGTATGTACAGTATCTGCTGAGATCCAATAGGTGCGGGAACTGAACGTGCTGCGGGCACTTTTCTGTCTTCCCTGTTGCAATGTCGACAAATAGACGTTGTATATGGCAACACAACACCTTCGGGTACCGAGTCAATGTAAGGCATTTCGACGCATCGGTACGAAGCAATGGCATTCCTCGCAGTGCTGGTAAACACGAAATATCGTCATCGCTTGGACCTGAGGCGGTGTAGGCATCATCAGGGTCTGATATCTCCAAAAAGGATAATCTGTTTTGAACTCTTGACAGATCACTTCTGAGTGCTTGGTGCGACATGGAATTTGCAGCTCGTCGAGGCCTTTTTTCAATCGAATCAATGGCACCACGCAATAGAATCTGCTCGTCTCTCAATTCCTTGATTTCTTGCTGCATAGTACACTGGGGACATTCAACATCGCTAACTCGCTCCAAGTTTGTAAAGTCTGATAAGCACTGTTCAAGTGAGCAGATAGGTAAATGGGATTGGTTTGGCGTCCTAGGAGACAACTGCTGCCGTTGTGTGCACGTACTATAATGCAACACCGCAGTCGGCACTAGTGGAATACTCAAAAAGGGTGCATTTCGAATCGGCCGTATGTATTTGCATTTGATGCATCGGAGGACGGAACCGCACCATCCGTTGAATGGTTCCATGGCTGTCAGCAATTCTGGCTGCATCGATGTTTTCAACTCCGACACGTGTGTGGCAACTTTTGATTCCCGAAGATCACCTTCTTGCTCGCTGTTCTCACGACCCCCGGGGTGCTGGGCATAGTTCTTGTGCGCAGACGAACATTGAGTCTCGTCAAGTTCAACTCGATGAAGTACGTCCGAGAAAACAACACAGCAACTCTGTTCTACATTAATTCTGTCGCCGTGATTATCGAGCTCCCTGATTGTTCGGTTACCGTCTCCAACTATTCCTGCAGTCAAGATTTCATTCGAGCTATTTGCACTCATGTGCTCCAAGGATAGAAAAATGGGACAGGGCACGTCAGAAATAGATCTCGCATCGCTCAATACAATATTGACCAAGGCTTCCATTAACTCCTGTGCATCCTGTTGCTGCAAATGACGTCCAGAAAACTGAGAATTATTTTCAGCTATGTATCCAAGAAGGTCTCGAGGTCCGACACGCACGTTATTCCACCGAATGTCTCCATTGACACACTTTAGCACTTGCAGAAGATGATGACTGAAACAAGCTGACACTTGTTTCGGAAAGTTTTGCTCTCGTATTCGCACAATCCCCTCTAAATAGCATAAGAGTGGTTCTAGTGGTGCCAGCGCCTTTTCAATAGACGAAGCGTTGAGATCCATCGCAATGTGTAGTAAGAAGCATCAAACCATGAACCGAGTCGCGTACCTGTAATACTGCATTAAGGAAACATGTCTGACCGTAATTTGGTATTCCTCTTATAGCTTTTTCACTATTTCCGTGGATTGGAAGAAACTTTGTTGTATATAGTTGCACCGGAAGATAACGAAGGACTGGTTGACTTTCTTGTAGCATCAGTTTCGTGATTGAATGGAATATTACGCCCAATGCTTTCTTCGACATTACTGGTATTAGAAAGTCATAGAAAAGAAGAGGAATGGCACTCCATGAGCAAAGATTGTCGAGAGTTGGCGATGCATCAACTCTAGCCCTCGAGAGCAACTCAGAAATTTCCAATCCTAGAAGACTGGAAGCAATAGTAACAACTGCCTCTGCATCAGACTGATCTTTAGTGAGAGCCGGCATAATCGCAACTTCTGTTGGTTCTCTTGAATTGTGTGCCAAGGGTGGTTCCACGGTTGGGTAAGAGAAAATTGGCTCTCGATTCTCCTTGGATTGCGCTTTGGATGTTTCCGTCGATTCTGACAATATTGGGATGAAATCCTCGGGACTCCGTGGTGAAGTATCCATTCGAGTCTTATTCGGTACAAGCCCGCTCGGCGTCAATAAGATAGAAGCGCTCTGAACCGCATCTGCTTTCACTGCCATTTCGAATACAGACAACAAGCAAGTGTTGATATACCTACAGCAGCAAAAACGAAAACGGCCGGGAACCAGGGTCGTGGTAGTCGGCTGGCTGCCATCACAAGGATTAGATTCATTCGTTAAATTGAGTAGCGAGGTACGAGAGATTTGGGACGAAAACGAGTACGATGAGAAACATGGGGATTTTACAAGATGTGTGCGAATATCTAACGTGCGAATGACGGACACTCTCTGGTCCAATTAACGGTCCCCTCAAGGTGATACTGATGTATCAGAGAACCTTGTACTCCGAATTGGGCTAATATCAACCGTACCCCCTCTTGGGAGGACGTATCATCCAA